TAAAAATAGCCACAGGCGGTCACAGTCAAGGTCACTTTCCCTTTCTTGTCACTGGCAAATGGGGGAGGGGGGGATGATAATAGCAGCTGTGTTTATTACGGTATGTTAGACAGGTTTATAATACATTTTTATTATTTTAATATACCGGTAATCTTCATTTTAATCCAGCTTACCAAACTTAAGTTTCAGTATAAAATAATTAGTGGTACTGTAGGACCTTGTGAGTGGTTTACTGTATACATAAATATTACATAAATTATTTCTGCAATTCTTCACAAACAAAACACATAAATCAATTGAATATGTGATGTCGAACGTGAACTGTAAACACTGTGTGTGATGTAGAGAGAGCGCGGGTGTAAAACGCTATGTAATTTGATTTTCTCTTTTATGTAAAATTTTACAATTTACTTATAATATATAGGTATACTGTATACATAAATATTACATACATTATTTCTGCAATTGTTCACAAACAAAACACATAACTCAATTGAACATGTGATGTCGAACGTGAACTGAAGCCACAACAACCGTTCGAGTGGAATCGCGTTAGAGCAAACGAGTTCGCGTTTTACAAATATCGTTCCTCAATTCATAAATCGCGTTCGAGCAAATTCGCGTTGTCAAAACACGCGTTATAGCAGAACTCACTGTATTGTAGTTTTTTTTTGTTTCAAATTTAATTTACAAAGATTGATGTTTTGAATGTAATGAACAAAAATTTATGTACAGTATCTATAAATAAACTTTAAAAAATTAATACTTTATTTTACATCGTCCTGTGCATACCATATCATGCATTTGGCTACTTTGGGCTTGCTATGATGACGCAAGAGATCTGCCCTGGCAACTGTACCGACACTCACAGCTGGTGGTGCGTTGGTGCGTCGTTTCCATTGTTTACTGGTAGTTACTGGCAAATAATTTTCAACCTAACGAAACTATTACCCGTTTAGAGGTCGACCCCCAATTATTTGCCAAATAATTTGGTCTTAAAACCTCGAACTACACACAGGTATATACGGTAAATAAGGACATGGGGGTCCAGGGGTTTTATATTGGGGGGGGCAGCAAAAGTACACGGATTTTTAACATTCACGGGTGTCTTTGTTACCTAACCCCCGCGTATGTTAGGGGCCGACTTATAATAAATAATGATGGTCCAAGTACTGAGCCTTGCGGAACTCCACTAGTGACGTTGCTCCAATGGGATTTAGTGCCGTTAATGCTCACTCGCTGTTTTCTGTCCTGCAACCACGCCCTAATCCATTTTAGAATATCACCTTTAATGCTATGAGCCTCCACTTTTCTTATTAGTCTTTCGTGGGGGACTGTCGAAGGCTTTGCTAAAGTCGAGTTATACCACATCATAATTGTGCCCCTCATCCACTGATTCGAAAACTGATGAAAAGAATGTTAATAGATTAGTTATACATGAACGCCCACTTGTGAAGCCATGTTGGGAATCATTGATCAACTTGTTTTTCTCCAGGTGATTTCGAATAGAGTTTGAAATGATTGCTTCCAGTAATTTGCCTACAATTGATGTTAGACTGATTGGACGGTAGTTAGAGGGTAGTGATCTATCTCCCTTCTTGAAAATCGGTAAAGGGCATACTAAGCTCTTCCTTACATTCCTTTAATACTCTGGCAAATATCTCATCGGGACTAGGTGACATATTAGACTTTAGTGTGTGTATTTGCTTACTAACATCATTACTAGTCACTACTATCTTGCTTAATTTCTTTTCTTCGCTATCTCTGTATAGAGTCGGAGCTTCAGGTATCGTGTTTAAATTTTCGGTGGTGAAAACTGTGGAAAAATATTTATTCAGATTATTGCTCATTTCTCCATCGTTATCAGTTAGCTCGCCGGTATCTAATTGTTTTGGCCCAATCTTTTCTCGTGTTATAGTTTGATACATTTGATAGAATCCCTTGGGGTTTGACTTTGCCTCCCTTGCTATCTTCATTTCATTATTCCTCTTTGTTTTTCTTATCTCGGTCTTTACCCGACCGACCAATACCTTAGAGTAATCTCTGAGGTAAACTTCACCATGGTTTATTCTCCTACCTATTGAAGGTTCCAAGTGTTCCCTGAAGAAGGCAGTGATAGGTAGGGAAACACCAGGTAACACTGAAGTCCATTTATTAATGGATAGGAGAGATACAAGTAGTGATCAGCGTGTGCCATGCACGACCCACGGAGTCAGACTGAGGCTGCATTGCCATATGGCAGCCTCGGGGCAATGTTGCCACATAACACGTGCATTGTTGCCACGTAATTACATACATAGATGCTACTCGACACAGTAGCTTATATACAAGGTTGCTACTCGGCACAGTAGCTTAGATACATAACCTACACCTATAGCCTTCCTTTGTCCAGTAAGGTTCTTTAAATAATTATTTATCCATTTAGGGTCATTGTTTGATCTGATTTTTTTGTATGGTATGTTCTGCCTTTGTGCATTAAGTAACTCATTATTTAAATTGTCGTGGAACTTGGCAACCTCAGATCTCGTTATCAGGTCAATTTCAACCGTCATGTCTCCGGGTAGGGTGAGGTCGCCCTCTGTGGGTACATTGAGTGAGGTCACCTCATGTGAGGTCATATAGTTCACCCCCAAGCATGATACCCTCTCTTTCAGCTGCCTCTTCAAACTATCAAAGTTTGCCCTTCTGAAATCTGGGACTTTAGTGGAAATTTCCTTGCGGCTGTCCTGAAATTCTAACTGGAATCTAATTTCTTTGTGATCGCTGTTTGCAAGTGCGTTACCTACCTCGACATTACTAATGAGGTTTTCTCTGTTTGACAGAACTAAATCGAATGTATTATTACCCCGGGTGGGTTCGGTCATATGTTGACTTCGGAAACAGTCCTGGATCGTTTCAAGAAAATCCTCTGATTCTGAGTTACCCGTAAGGTCAGTCCAATCTATTTGGCTAAAGTTAAAGTCGCCTACTATACAGACTTTGCTGTGTATGAATACAAAATTTTCAAGTTTGGTTTAAATTTTTGTTAAAATATCGAGATTAAATATTCAACCAAAAATAAATCTTACAAGATAGAAAAATTGGACTCTGGAGTTAGGTTGAGGAAAGGTTCTTCTTGTGCTGAGTGTTTGTTTCATTGAAATCGGTCAAAATTTTTTAGAGAAATTCCAGTCTGAGTGTTGGAAAATTTTATTTTGAGATACAAGCCGATAGAGTTTCTCCACCTTTCTTCCCTGTGTAAGTGCTAATTCTGAGCCGATTTTACATGTAATATCTTGTTTTTTTGTGTATTTTTACATCCCCGACTGAACTCCAGTTACATTCTTTATGTGAGGTAGAGGGGAAGGCTGGGGCTGGGCTGCATCAGATGCCCCCCGAGACAGCTGTTACAGTCGCTATCATAGCAAATAGTTTCTTCTTTCATCCTCTTGGATTTAGCAGTGCTCTTGGCACGTGCTTCTTTTAGTTGTCTTTCATGTTTTGAATGACATGCCATCCTGATATTTGAGAAGAGATGCCTGGTACAGCAGTACAAGTGAGGTAAGATGTGTGGTGCATTGGAGTGCACACCACTCCTTCCTGTCCAACCCTATTGATGACACGTGCCTCTATTAGTGACTACCACTTCCCCTTTACTTGCCACATGTTGCCTGAAATGAATTTCGAAAGTCTTTTATGTGCTATTCCAAATTTTGGGGGAAAATATTTTGCCATGATCATTCATATGTCTACCCAAGGAAGGTTGGGGGACCATACATAACTGCAAAAATATTACGAATATTGCCATAAAACTCGATACAGATATATGCAACACCTTTGCTCAGGAATTTTTTCATATTTATCATTTTTTTTTCATTTCTCTTCGATCTAAGCCGGACGCTCCTCTTAAAAGGAACCGTAGTAGCTATTGAATGGATGTGAAATTAGAAGTTATATGTCGTAAAAAAAGTGGTGAGCGTGTATCAATGAACCACTTTTACAGAAATGGGTATGCGAGTGTGTGGTTCTTCTCCTCCTACTCCTCTCATTATTATTATTACAGTCGACCCTCGTTAATTCGGACTAATAGGGGGGGAAGGGTGTCCATTTTAGCAGATTGTCCGAATTAACTGATTTAGGGGTTAATATTGCATTATACAGCTATATGTATGTTTATTTGAGTGCCCCGTCATAGGAGTCCGTTTTCTCTCACTTCAGGACGCCTGAGTCGTCCGTTTTCTCTTAATCTTAGAGTGCACCAGAGACTTCATTATTTCTTAGAAGTGACACAGAATTTGATATTGCAACTGGGGTTGCAATTGTTGAGGCAACTTAGGTATGTCTGATTACAGTTGGAATATTCAAGATCCATTGTGAGTGATGTTTAAAGCTTCAACTGTCTTTATTGTTGGTAAAACTTGTCAAGTCTGTCAGTCTGAGTGGCATGTGTAAGGCCTTGTGTTTGTACAACCGCTAAATATATAAATAGTATATAATGTTATAGTAATTATCAGAAGCACACATAGGCATGACTAGGTTTATTACAAAGTGATGAAAAGGATACTGTACAGTGGGTAGTCCACAAAACATGTAGCCATGTCTCTTTATTTGAGTGCCCCGTCATAGGAGTCCATTTTCTCTCACTTCAGGACGCCTGAGTCGTCCGTTTCCTCTTAATCTTAGAGTGCACCAGAGACTTAGAAGTGACACAGAATTTGATATTGTAACCCCAATTGCAACTGGGACAGTCCTCGAACCAGAAATTTGATACGGACAGTTCAGATTTCGTCCGAATTATCCAAAATCCGGATTAAAGGGGTCCGAATTAATGAGGGTCGACTGTATTAATATTAATATTATTATTATTATTATTATTATTATTATTATTATTATTATTGTTGTTGGATGAGTAAAACGGTTAATGTTATTTGGTTTTTTCTTGTTTTTTTTTTGTAATGTCATGTAGGACAAGTAGTCTCTTGTTTCATCATGATAATTAAAAAAAATTCTTATGATTTCAGTGAACAAGACAAAGTGACAACACGGTATCTCAAGTGCAGACAGGACTAATTCATCCAAGACTCATCTTCCAGGGTATAAAGAAACATCTACAGTATGCCTAAAATTTCGTCTCTCTTACGGTACATTTTGTTACAGTGATGTATATGCATTTTTGCATTTCAGGATATTCCATTTTATTATGAAATTGTTTGCCCTGTAAGGAAAAATGTAATTGATAACATTTTAAAGTTGTTCTCTAAGGTAGCATTTTCAAGATTTGTAATTATACAAGGACCTCTCCCACACATAACAGGGTTCCTATGGAGGCTAAATAAATGTGTCTTTTTGTATTTGTTTTTCATAATCCTCATTTTATTTTCATCAATAATTATTAGGTGTGTGTGTGTGTGCACTACTCAGCTTAGATTGTGAAAGAAACACATGTTCTCAGTAAACATTACCTGTAACATTGTAGGCAGAAGGATATTTTGCAATAACTTCTATATTACCTATGAGTTCTCTATAACTTTCTATACACTAGCTGTTTTTTCTTTATCTCTCAATATGTTAACTGTATTACAGATGACTTCCTTGAACCCTGAAGTTAACCGTCTTGCGTCAGATCATTGGGTAGCACTATTTGCATCGGTGACACAAATTGCATCTTTAAACTTTTACAAATTTACCATAAAAAGGGTTTTAAGATAATTGTATCAAATGTTTGTGTGTTATGCATGATCTTGCAAGGAAAGTTTTCAGTAAATACTAAAGCACGGGTGGAGCTCTGCTGGCCATCATTTTCCTGTCGTCATCCTTGCTGATTGGTCGCATTTGTCTCTATTTCCTCTCCCACCCTCCCCACAATTAGTTGTATCAAAATTCCAAAGCTGCCTTGGAAAACTCATAAAATTCTGCTTCCATAACTATGTAATACCTTGGTAGATTTGTGAGAAAATATCTGATATACAGTTGGGTCGCATCTTACGCGCATTCAACTTTAGCTTGTCTTAAGGAAAAAAATATGATACAGAGTTGGAGCGTATGGATGGGGGAGATACCATTTTTTATGGCATATGAGACACACACCCCCATTTCATCAGGGAGTACAATGATATATCCGTTAGCCAGAACAATTGATGCAGAGCACTTCGGGGATGAGAGATTTCTTGGTAACCAGACGACTTTCTCAAACCTGAAAAATTCCTTATCCCAGGAATCTTTTCCGGTTACTGGGAAAAGTTTCCAAAGTCTAAACTACACATCTTGCACAGACGCACACTAGTACACATCCCCAGAAAGATTATGGGTGCTGGGGATGTTTTCCTTGAGTCTAAACTACCGGAGTCTGTAAATGCAGCTCTATTTAAGTTAGAAACTTTATTTCTTTCTACAATAACCCAGAATAGTTTATCTAAAAGTTTGGTTAAATAAATATATTTAAAAACTAAAAACCTATATGATACAGGCGTGAATGAATCTGTGTGTTACAGCAAAAACTGGTATTTTCCACTCCCTTGGAGCTATAGGGATTAGTGGTCATGTAACTGACCTGACCTGATGCAATGTCAGGCTGAGGTAGGGTGGAAGATTAGTGGTCTCATAATACTGACCTGATGTAATGTCAGTTTACCTTTTCTTGGGCAGGAATTAGTGGGTCTCATGACCTGAAGATGTCTTGAATAAAGACAAAAGCTAAAGTATTTTTGAGGGAGATTGTGATAAGTGTAAGTATAAACGAGCAAAGTTGTATCCCTTCAGCTTTATGATACATAACTTAAAGTATGGAGTGAGAAAGCTTTTCTTTAACTCCCCACCACACAGTCGCACAAGACCCTCACACAGGGGAACTTGTTGTCCTAATTCCCATGTGTGTGTGTGTCAGACTATGGCAACTACTGCGGGATCTCTCTGCTGTCTGTAATTGGCAAGATTATAGTCCGAGCCCTCCTAAACAGACTTCTTCCTGAGGCGGAAAACTTCCTCCCAGAATCTCAATGTGGCTTTAGACCACCACGTGGTACCACTGACATAATCTTTGCTGCCCGCCAGATACAGGAAAAGTGCAGAGAACATCGTCGTGACCTATACATGGCATTCATCGACCAAACTAAGGCCTTCGATTCGGTCAACAGGGAAGCCTTCTGGTGGACCCTCAGAGGTTTTGGCTGCCCACCAAAATTCATCGCCATTGTGAGGCAACTCCACAAAGGTATGAACGGCAGTGTCCTGCACAATGGCACCCAGTCTTGAGTTCTTCCCCATCCAAAAGGGGTTAAACAAGGGTGCGTACTGGCACCATTCTTTTCCATTTTCTTAGCTGCCTTCCTTACTCGTTCCATTGCTAATTTAGCCAGTGGGGTAGACATTGAATACTGGATGAAGGGTCTTTTCAACATAAGACGACTCCAGGCAAGAACAAAGGTGTCGGCAGGTTCCATTACTGAACTTCATTATGCAGACGACCTCACCTACGCAGATGCGTATGCACACTTCGGCTTTGAGGTGAATGTACTTAAGACTCGGATTCTCTTTCAGCCTACCCCTGGTTCAGACACATCTCCACCATCTATCCAGCTTAACGATATTACCCTCTCTAATGTTACCCACTTTCGGTATCTCGGTTCCCATTTGTCCACCACCGCAGACATCGATGAAGAGATTCAGCATTGGATCAAATGTGCATCTCAAGCCTTTGGCAAACTCCAAAACCGTGTCTTCAGCTGTAAGGAGCTGAAATTATATACAAGGTTACACATATATCGAGCAGTGGTCCTCCCCACCCTGCTATATGGCAGCGAGACATGGGCCACATACAGGAGGCACCTTAAGGCACTTGAAAGCTTTCACCTATGTAGTCTACACTCCATCCTCTGAGTTTGGTGAGAAGACGAGAACAAATGCCAGTATTCTTACTGACACCAACTGTAGGAGCATCGAGGCTACCATTATTCGTGAAAAACTTCGCTGGACTGGCCATGTTACCCGCATGGACGACAAGACTGCCAAAGCAGCTACTTAACAGTCACCTAACGAATAGTAAAGGTAACGCTGGCGGGCAACTAAAAAGGTATAAGGATAGTTTTAAGACAAACCTAAAAAGGTGCCAAATCGACCCCCCCTCACTCGGGAGACAATTACCCCACATTGTAACGCTTGGAAGAGCACCACACGAGAAGGTGTCAATACTAAAGAGTTAGCCCAACTGCAAATCGAGGCAGACTCGCGCCAACGTCGGAAAGACGCTGCCGGCTCCCCTCCCATACTAGATGTAGCCCTCCACAAGTGCAACTTCTGTGAACGACCCTGCCGGTCCTGTATCGGCTTCTTTAGTCACCTCAAAACTCGCCAATGAAAGTGACATCCCTAATAACTCGTATCATTGTGTCATAGCTGGATGATCGTCATACTTGATTCCGAGTGACAGCAAAGTAGTAGTAGTGTGTGTGTCAGGAACACACCTCAACATCACATTCACACACCCACACACCTCCAACACCACCCACACACCCTTAATATCACCCATACACCCCTAATATCACCCACACACCCCCCAACACCACCCACACACACCCCAACATCAAACACACACACTCTCCAACACCACACACACACACACACACACACACACTCCAGCACCATGTGAGATGAAGTGCCTTGCCTCATTGCCACCATTTTTTATTTGACTGTATGCATTATTATATTGTTACAAGTAGTTGAGTGGTTACCTATGTGCATTGGTGTGTGTGCTCGATTTGGTGCTATATAATGTTATTGTTTCTGATATTGTTATATGATGCTGTATGTAATGTAATGTATTAAGACAAATGTGTTAAAACTTATGTAGAAGATGAGCCAAATTAAGTTCCACACTAAATAGTGGTAGGCTTGGGATCCCTTAGTCGGGCTGCCGGTGAGAGAGACAGATGCTGCCGGGACTTCCAGTAAGGCAGACATACATTTGTTAAACTTGAGGAACACTTACTCAGGTTTTGTATATCAGTACTGCTCTAGTGATTATATTAAGTGACAATTGGTTGTGTAATTGTTTTTTATGAGGATTAGATTGCTGTGACTAGTTTTGTTTGAAGAGTTGAACCAAGATCTCTTAATGTTCAATGTCCAGCTTATGATCTACCATACTGTACATGAGCATAGTTTGTATTTAATTGATAATTTTTCAAGCAAAGTGCCACACTGATATTGTTATTCACAGTGAATTCCCTTTATTTATTATAAGTGTAATGTAAAATCTTCAAATGTGAACCCTCACCCTCCTCCTGAAGCAGTCAACGAATCTACCTCCGTTTGCTCCCAGAAACTCACAAGTACTGTTTTATTAGGTTAATGATCCCATGTCCTTATTTTATATTGTACATAGACATTTTAGCCATTAAACTATTAAAATGTATGTTTTCTTAAGACCCTGAACCAAAGCTGCACTTAAATAATGGGGGCCATATCAAATTTCAACTGAACCCATAACATTTTTAGTAATTCTGTGTGCCATTTTGCCCTTCTGTGCGACATTGCAATACTTGCCTTTTTTTTTTTTAACGGGAAATAGCCCATCCGGGCACAAGTCAAACGACCCACAACGGAGCCTGGGGGGGTGAAAAAAAAAGAACGGAAAGAAATTGAAAATATAGAAAAAAAGGTTATACAGTCAACCCTCACTTTACGCAGTCCCACATTCCGCGTTTCCACGTTTACGCGGTACCCTGCCGGAACCCGGGATGCTCACATTCCGCAGTGCGTGTACCCCTTCACGCCGGTGAAGTATAGTATTTTTATTTGGCTCATAAAATTCATATAAATTATCCTGCCAGAATATAATTTACATTGCTGGAATTCTTACAATTTGATGACCATTTTGAATATAAGCATCATAGATTTTGCATTAGACATACAAATTTTAGATCTAATGCAAGTATTTTGTTTACTCAGAGCAAATATGTTATCTTTTGTGCAAAATATATGAAGTGTATATTCAAAATATTCCTGGTCTTGCAAGGAATCCAGCAATGTCAATTATATTATCCTAACTTTAGTCTGAGGTATTATTTATTACTAAAAAGGTAAATATTCTGGTTTCTCCCAAACATTTATCTGGTAGGGAGGGTTGGTGGGGGGTGGGGGAGGGAGGGACTGACCGACCATCTGGCGCGGTTGGAAGAGGGGGGGAGGCAAGGTGGGGTACTTTGATTGACAGATAGTGTTGTGAAGAATATTTTTTTTTTTATTAACTGAAGATATTTGTTTTAGCTCATAAAATTCATACAAATTACCCGGCCAGAATATAATTTACATTGCTGGAATTCTTACAATTTGATGATCATTTTGAATATAAACA